TACCTACCTCCTACTACGACGTAACTAAACTAAAACGTAAAACCTAACCGTACCTACCTTACCTTCTTACTCGTCACGACGACACACTACTCTCTCTCTCTCTCTCTCTCTCTCTCTCTCTCTCTCTCTCTCTCTCTTCCTTACACACACACACACCCAATGTTGCCCACAGGCACTAAAGCAAAATAGAGATTTGGTTTGCATGAATAGGGACAACCTCATAATTTCTTGGTTAGCATGGGTTAAAGCCTGATGCCTATGGGATATGATAATGCTGTGAACTCTTTATTGCCTTGGATGAATTCCATAGAATCTTAGAAGGCAGTAGCATTTCTGTAGCTTTTCCAATACACTAACAATAGCTGTACTTACTTTGATGAGGAAGTCTTTTAAAGACCGGTAATCTTCAGAAGAAGCAAGGCTGAGAACGTGCAAGGTCGTTGAACTCAACTGTAATCCAGCCACACATGTAAGCTTAAAAGTGTATAAAACAAAAACTGATACCTAGTTCATGGGGAAGCAATGTATAACTTGTTGGCTCTCATACAACACTTACCTGTTCTTCAAGAGTCTTCTTATACTGGAAACTAGAAGGCATAACACCTTGATCTGACCCAAGTGATTCCAATACATGCTCCAAGCCTTGAAGAACATCGGAAAATGAATTCCCATAGTCTGCATGACAAAATAATAATGAGGAGATGAAGTTGGGATGTGTTCATTGATGGCCTTCCTGCCTGACATTTTTTATCCTACAATTTTCCATTGCAAAGATGTAACATACATGTTGATAAATATTATCCAAAGATCTAGGTACCAAGGTCCCTATACACATTTGGTCTATCGGCTATCTTGAGATCCATTGCAGCTTTCTAAATTGTAGCAATTTTCTTAACAGTTTATTTTCCAAACTATGCAGACATATGGCACCGTTAAACCCATTCTGCCAATGAAACACCAGAACCTAACTTATCTGTTTCAGGCAAACTGTTGGATGCCTATGGAATATGCTTGATATGCATGAAAAGAAAACCCCACTTGATAATGAATTATATACTTAGCGTGGGAACATTCTGATTGAATGACAAGTACACAACCGGGTGCAATGTATACGGTTGGCTAGCCATTTTTTTTGGATATTATGGTGGCTGGCCATTAAATTGCACATATGCAATACGATAAACTGCCCATTGATAATAAAAATTATGCAAATAATGAATTTTTCTCATGATAGTTTAATGATCAAGAACTTACAAATGCGTGAAAACACTTGGTTCTTGTGGAGAATAAATTGTTTTTATAGTATGGCACCCTCTAGAGAGGAATGAGTTAAGGAGATGTCATTCAAGCCTCCCAAAGTATAGAAGCACTGTAAGCCCTAGACCCAACTATTAATGTTCACAGGAATATAAATGATATAAAAATTCAAATCCAAAAAAGAAAAAAAAGAAAACTGATACGAAAATTCATGTTGCAGTAAATAGTTCCCCAAAAACATCTGTATGAATTTATACATGGGTAGCAAAATTATTTCTCCAAACTTAAAAGAAATCGCCTTACCATGCCTGTTTCCTGGAACTGCTAATGCTGCAGCAGCATGTATACGGATCTTGAAATTGGTCGAATCACGTAGAAGCAGCAGAAGAATACTATAAACTGAAGAACTCCTGCGAGTTAAAAACCATGATTTCCAAAGTTTTAAAAGTTCAACGGCCACAGATTCAATCAATGTAAAGCAGTATGTTTCATCTTCTAAATCATTCCATATTAGAATGAATTACTTCTGGACATATGTTTTTATAATGAACCCTCAGATATGATTTTTAGCAGAGCTAGATTAATTTGATCCCCCAAATCAGCATGCTTTTGTACTAGCCATAAAAAACTTGCTCAAGGATTTAAACAACATTTCAAGGAAAAGCAGCTCCCACAACCACCAATACATTTGATAGAAATCACCTCAAAACTCCTAGAGCCAGGGAGAAGACCACCAATCCTGCATGTACATTAAAACCCTAACATGCTAAATGCATACACATGCATAAAGATAACCAGATGTGCACACATCATAAAAAACCACTAGAAAGAAAAGAAGGAAATGCTTGTGCGGATTTATGTATTCTCACTGAGACCAGAACTAGAACATACATTTAGGGTGACAAGGACAGAAAGACAAAAAAAAGATTTTACGATTGGGACAAAACAAACCTAACTTTGAGGCTGGAAATAAAAGGTATTTTAAAATATGCACATCTATTATGTTATTCACTATAGGGGCTGAAGGGCTTTTCTTACCCTACAATCCCACCCTGAATGGGTAGGCATGAAAGATACAACTCTTCCAAGTGCTCCATGGTGAATTCTGCATTTTGGGGATTGTTTGCTATGGGCACTTAGCTATGAGTCAAGAATAACCCACCACCTACGCTAGAGGCAACTGTATAGCAAACATTTGGTAATGGAAATGCAGTCGTTTAAGCTATATAAGCTTCTAAAGAAAAGGGAATTGTGTCAAACTCACTCAAATGGCCATCATTTCCCAAGAAGAAAACTTCTCTTCACTTTTCATTTGCGATTTGTCTGCGTTGAAACCTTCCAAAACTCTATATCAACGAGGTGGACAAACAAGAGGGAGCACATGCGCTGGATGTGGTCTATATGATTAAAGTTTGGATGAGGTAAAAGTTATAGAGATGCTATTCTTAACTTTTCTGGTAACTGGGTCGAGCTATCTATTAAGTTTACAACAGATAGCAAATGGTAATTAAGCTATTTCTTAATATCTATTGTTTTTGCAAGTACAAAGGAAGCAATACAGTAATGTAAAAATTTGAAAGGAGAGGTCACCACCTCCCAAAAATCTTTAAGCATTTGAGTGTGGCTTCTTATTCTTCAAATGATAGCTGAATATTTTATTCATATTTCAGCTCAACAATACAACTTCACAATCAAAGTAGATCCAAATCACCTAAAAAATGTAGTTCTTTCCTTAATGATTGAACAAAAGGTGGTTAAAAAAAAAAAATCGAAAAAGATCAATCTTTTACCCTGAGAAAAAACAAAATACCTGCCATATTCACCAAAAAATGCCCTTTTCTTATGAAATTTTAAATTTTAAAGGGTCTTGACGTTTAGGAAAAATTGGATTTTGAAAACTATGTTATATGGCCTCTTTTAATTCTAAAAGTGTAAAATTTATGATATCCATCTGTTTTTGTCCATTTCTATTAATACATAAAAACTTAATTAGAAATAAATTTAAATTAACAGTAATGCCCAATTTTTAAATGAAAGCTCTAATTATGAACTTTATTATTTTCTAATTTCAGTTATCATTATATAGTGGATCACAAAAAATAAAAAAATATATAAAGTATATTTTATTACAAATGTCAATTAATATTCAAAGATAAAATTTTATTGATAAAGAGTGATTTTGGCCACTCACTTTTCTTAATTATTGCTTTTGATTCAAGGACCATGAGAGGCAATACTGACCCGAATACTAATTTGACCAACTAGAGTGCCAGGTGGATAATTGAAACATAAGTGACCTATGCATTGTGTTTATCATTAAAAATAGCTATAATGTAACTATAAATTTGTCTATTTATTAATTACATTGCCTATTTACAATCTGAATTTAAACTCAGTTAGATTTATTGATAATCTTTTAAAAATTTGACATTTTTAAATTATGTTCGTAAAAAATCTTATTCTGCTTATGATTTTATAATTTTCAAGGATTTAACTTGTTATATAAAATTTACATCTTTTAAAACAAATATTGGAAAATAATATATATTTTTAATAAATGACAAGATTACTAAGAGCTTTGTTAAATTGACAGAAAGTTGTAATGCGTATTAGAACAAAGATTTGGTCTTCTTTTAAAATATAAACGTTAGCTTTATTTTTTCATACCACCCATCAACACAAAGGGTCAATTTAGCCAATTATCTCTAAACTTTTGAGTTTTGGTGCAAAGGGAATTAAAAAGTGAGGGAGGAGATTGTGGATTTCCTTCCCTGAGTGCATACCTCACTTACTCCTTTGGGCAACTAATCTACTTAAGATAATAAAATTGATAAAAAAAAATTTGAGACCAACTTAAAAATCACAATACGAGTATTTTCAGGATAAAATAGAAGTTTATTATTCAAAAAGTGTTCTTAACTCTTTTGCTAAGGGAAAGCAACTACCATAATCTCCTATTGTATCGTCCAAAACTTAGTAAGTTACCTATCTAAATATTTTTGCTTCATTAGCCATTTTGTTCAAATAGAGGTGTGTACCATACGCTTTGTGTAGTAGAAGTAGATAAGATTAGATATACTACCCAAAAATGTAGATATATAGATATCAAATATTTTATGACAAAAATTGAAAACATTTATTTACTCATACGTAACGGTTTTAATAATGCCATTTTAATAAAAAAGTTTGCAACAGCCAAAAATGGTTTAGAAAAATACAATTTTAATTTTGTACTTTACTGAAATTTATAAATTCAAGAACTATAATTACTCTCGGTGAAATTATTAATACCAAACTATAAGTAAATTTTATAATCTTCAAGTGATCTTGATCATTTTTAATTAATGTATAAAAATTAATTATAAATTAATTTGATATGACAATAATGCCAATTCTTCAACAAAAATACTAATTGTGAATGTTGTCAAATTTAAATTTTAACTATCATTATATTGTGTATCACAAGCAAACATAGAAATTCAAAAGCTAACATTTTATAACTCTATTAGTAAGTTGAAATTATAATTACAGGTGATTAATTAATATTGCAAGTTATTTTATCAATAAGAGAGGTTTTGGTCACTCACGTTTTTGGTTATTGTTTTTCATTCCGACAAATTTACTAATTTCATCACCTAAAGTGTTGGGTAGATAAATAAAAAATGTGACACTTTATACCCCTTTAATAATTAAAATGAGGTTATAAATTAATTCATGATATTTCTAAGTACTTTAATTTATTAATTAGAGTTTTAAAATTATGATTTCTCAAAATATGCTCATATAATGAACTAATCTGATTATGATTTATATTTTAAAATCTAACATTGTACATAAAGTTTACCGCTGCTAAAACAAATATTTGGAGATAATAAAATATACTTTAAGCACTACAAATTTGTTATAGATAAGGTGCTCCTTTTTGTAGAAAACTACAAAATCTGTGCATATTTATATTAAATTAATAAAAAGCCCAAAAATATTTGTATTGGTGTAGATATCAACATGATTGTTTAGCATCTTAGTCAGCACCACATTTTGCAAAGGGGCCGAAAGGTATGAAAGTTTGGGGTGGAAAAAAACACCACTATGTAACATGATCCTCTAGGAGCATATTATATACTTAATCCATCAAGGAAGAAGCCTGCCAAGAGGTATTGTGCCTACTGTCTAGATCTAAAATTTAAGGGTTCACTTTAGCCAAATGAGTGTTTCCAAAAAGAAAATGAGCATTTTTAAAACTCTTGTTTATCATCACATATGTTTTTTTTGGAGCATATACCTCGAGGAAGCATACATGTTTGTACACTGACATTACTTATATTACATAACACATGAGATAATTTCAAACTCTCATTTATCACCACACCATGGTCCGCATGAAGGGGCTGAAAGTATAAACTTCAGTGAAAGCTCTCCAATATAAAAATTGTATAACATGCTTCAGTGGGAACATAGTGTACTTAATCCATCAAGAAAAAAACCCGCTGATATGTATTTCCTAGAATTAATTCTATTGGTCCACTTTGAATACCAAATGAGCATTTTTAAAAGAGAATTTTGATTTGGAACTTCAATATGATTTTTAGCTAAGAGAGCATATATCCCAGGGAACATGCAATCCTTTAGTGTTTATAAATTGATATTTGTATATTATTTTAATTCAACATCATTTATTGTCACACAACGTGTCCACATAAAGGGCTGAAAAAGTGTAAAATTTCAACGAAACAATCTGCCGAGTCTCCAGGATAAAAGTTGTAAATCCATTTGAGGAAAAAAAACCTGTAGAAATCTCATATTTGGGGATCTACTTTTTAATCAACAAATGAGTACTTTTGAAAGAAAATTCAAATTATGAGTTTTGGATATGATTTTTTAATACAGGCATTTACCTAAGCTATGTGATTGAACCACTGAATTCATTGTGATGTGACACATAGTTACAGAAGGGACCTACCCTTTTTTTTATATATAATCCTATATAGGTGATTGTTCACTGAATTCATGTCTTCATTTTTATGGTGGTGTGAATTCATTTGTATAGAACAATCTTAGAGTCAACATATAATAAAACTAGAAGGAACTTACCAAGCCATATGTTGTAGCCTAATGGTATCATTCAAGAAAAGGTTGCCCAAAGCATGACAAACATTCCACTGGACCTGCCCAAAAAGTCCAGCTTTCAGATGTGAAAGTGGGACTCCCAAGTATTTCAAGGACAAACAAAGTAAAAATCTCGGCTCTTAGACAATAGTAAATGAGAAAAAGCATACCTTGGCATTTCCTGTTGTAACGCAAGATACAAATGCTTGCACCATTCTTTCCAACCAATGGGAACAGCCTGAGTAAGTTGAATAATTATTCAACAAAGAACAATCTTTGCAAGCTTTAAAAGGAGCAAAACCACCACTTCCTTTTACTGTATATAAATTAGTACAGTGCAATGAGCAGCTTTGAGCATCAGTATGAGTCGTACTTGAGAAGCAAACGAATCTCGAGAGATTGCCAAGAGCCCTTACGGCATTTGCCCTCATCTAAAGACAATGAAGCACACACTTAGAAGTTCTGGAAAGCTGCCAGAAGAATGACTTAGAAAATGGGACAAAAAGCTCGTGGTGGATAGACTTAAAAACTAGAATTCGAAAGCGTAGAATGATATTGCTACCTGTGTTCGAAAAGTTGGCTACCTGGTTGCCTAGGCATCCAGCAGGCCTCACCAAAGCACATAGGCCTACGTGGGCTGCCTAGGCATTGATGCACATGAGTGCTCGCCTAGGCGCTCGAGGGCCTGACTCCACTCCTAGGCCGCGCCTCGAGCCCTTTGGCTTGAGGGTGAGAAAATGCCCTCTGCCACGAGCAGTTTACACAATTTGGTTCCCTTTTAAGAGGGAAGGGGGTTTGGGGAGAGTTTTAGGAAGCATTCCACCAACTGTAAAAGCTATTTTGCATTCACTCAGAGTGAGACAAATTCAACATTTCAAGATTTTTGAAGAACAAATTTTTTCTGAAGTTCTAGATTTCTTGCACAACCGAAAAGCATTCAACCCTATACTTCTAGTGGTATGAAGTGCTTTTGAAAAAAGACTCTTTGCAACCCATGGATACCGATTCGAGCCAAGATCTATTGCATTTTGAAAGGTTAGTATTATTTAGGGTTTGTTGATCTATATAAATATTGGGTTTATTTATTTTATTTATTTTTTGCTTGCATGGTTTTTGTTCTTGTATTTCTTGCATGGTTTCTGTTCTTGAATTTCTTTTTGAAGTTTTTGTTTGGAGCTCTGGATTTGTGGCCTATATTCAAGAGTGGGTTTTGGTTTTTGTTTAGCAGCATGTTACTAAGATTGGGTAACGCAATCTAGGTACAATGTCAATAAAGTTAATCCAAATGGATTTTTCTAGTTTAGTGGTCTTAAATTGATCTCTTAATTGAAAAGAGAATCATTCAATATCTCTTAATTGAAAAGCGAATCTTTCAATTTTGTGTTTTATTAATTATTTCTCAAGGTTGGGTAACTTTAGTGTTCCAAATTTCAAGGACTTAGACAATGGTTTCTATTTGTATTTTGGGAAAAAAATGGTTTCTCACATAGTACGATCAATTTGGGGGGGTTTTGGTTTCCAAACCTCTCAAACACAATTTATGGGGCCTAGAACCCCACCTTCCTGGATGGGCCACCTAGGGAACTAGGCTCTCGCCCAGGCACCTAAGCAGCCTGGACCTTTTAATCTACATTTTACAACATTGATTGCTACCAAAAAGGTTCATGAAATGTGAAATACTCAGCATGCACATATACTAATTATAAAAAAGTGGGAAAGAAAAAGCAAATCAATACACAAGAAGCGGCAAGTGATATGTTTCACTATCTCATCCCTAATAAGAAGGTGATCAACAGACCGAGAATAGGAACCAAGAGCATAGGTGACTCAATAGGGATAAAATTCCGTTATATACATCGGAAATGGTATTAATATTGCACTGCTTTAATACAAAAAAGAACAGTCACGGATGGCTGCACACAACTTGAGGTCTAAAAATAGGGCAGAAGGTAACCCTTAGTAACTGTATATCCCACTAGGAACACAAAAAAGATCAGTCAGTAATAATTATTTTTAGTTCTGGTTGCTACATAAGATCAAATGAATCTAATTCACATGGAAAACAGGCTTAAAGGGAAAGGAAGTGTTAGGGTGGTGGACATGAGTCCTAAGGAGATTTTGTAGTTCAACAGTGTTGGCATGTAGCTACACTGAAGCAGTATGGATTCTGCCAGCATTATCAGAGACGTGATCTTATATTTCATGCTCAAAGGGAAGTGTAATGCAGTGGATTCAAGTCAAGCCAAGCCACACTTGATCTCAGAGTGATTTAAAGCAAAAAATGGCAAAACCATCACCCAAGTGGTCAAAAGGCAGCAGGTTATGCATTTACTGCTTATGATGAGGACAAAATTTCACGGTACCTGCTTTTAGGTTTGATAGGGCACTGCATGCGCACTTGCAGTTCACAGCTAACACACTGCAGCTGTACTTTTTTTGTTGTAGATAGAATGCCTATTTCTTGTTTTTTTCTGATCAACAATTGAAATTTACTAAGAAGTAGGACAAGTAGAAGACCGCATAAGAGCCAATAATTGAGGAAGGGAAGGAAAGGTGGCATCTCCTCTTAGAGCCAAGAGAAGGAAAAAAGAACTTCTTACAACCTCAATGGCCACTCAATTTGATAAACCACCGACCAAAGAGTTCGATGACAATACAACAATGGATAGAATTCGAAATAAACACATTCAGAGTTGTGCCCAGGGTGGTTGGCAAAAGGACTGGATGTGACCCTTGTGTGTGATGGTTGTTCGGAGAGGACAAGGGCTAAAATCCTCATCATTACCATCACACGGCATGTACACTAAATAGCCGTCTGAGAAGTAGCCCTCTGGATGAGGGTGTGCATTGTGTACACATGCCAAAAAGATGACTCCTGCAATACTGGACTGTGTTGGAAGGACCCATGTACTACCATACTAAAATGGGGCCTGGACTTGTCCTCAGGGAAGGACCTATAATCCATGGACTAGGATTGTGTCTCCTTTATTTATTGGTTGACTTTGATAATCAGTTCGTGAACCCCTACAAAGTGCAATGCGTCATGGGAACTATTGGGTCAGTTTGAGACGGTATAGTGAGATGTAGTTTCTAGAAAGGATGAAGGCCTCAATATATTTGTTATATTCCTAGCTCTTTAGATCCAATTCCCATCAAATCTTCTTAAAAATGTTTAATTATATTTTAGATAATTAAAATGAATTTTTAGACCTCTCTAGATATTTTATTTGATTGAAAAAGGAGTTTTCAATAAGGAAAAAATAATTTTATGATTTTATTTAATTCAGAGAGGAAAATAAAATATGTAATAGATTTATAAAATTCTTTTTAGTATTCTAAAGTATAATATAAGGTGTGGGGGACTATTGGGACTTTGGGCCTTCCACATATAAGCCAACTAGTGGGGGGCATGGGGCCCACATGGCGCTCCATGTGCGGCATGCCCTACTCCCTCTTCTTTCCTATCTTGTGTGGCATGTGTGTTAAGCCACCTCCTTGACTTAAAAATAAAAGGAAAGTGAAGTGGAAGATATTTGATTGATTTCAAATAACCAAGTGTAGAGCTTGATTGAAAATTGATTTGTAAAACTATAGTATTTTCTTTACACCTCATTCCTTAAATCATGGTCCACCTCATTCCTTAAATCATGATGGTCCACCTCATTCCTTAAATCATGCTGGCTGATCTAAAGAATGAACAGTTGAGATCTCTTCACCCCACAAGTCTCCATAATCAAAGGTCAAGATTGAATCTCATAATATGGCAAAACCCTAGACCCCAAAGCCCTATAAATGTTCTTTATGAAAGTGTCTTCTCTACGATTGTGAAATTGTCTTCTCTAGGGTAAACCCTCAGGGGCACGCCTAAGGTGGCACGTCCTAGACTAGATGGTACTTGTATTATTGTATTGTGTTATGAGATGGCTTCCATCCCATGTCATGCTCTCAAGAGGTGTTGCCTAGGCTTCTCTAATTATAAGACAAGGTTGGGACCAAGATACAGTGTGCCTTTGGTATGCAGGCTCACCATTCACTTTACAAGCTTTTCGCACTAAAAGGTCACTGCAGGACTAATTTAAAGTGTTTTGGGTCCTTCTTCATCGCTTCTTCCCCAATGTGGGATTAACGCAATATGATGCCCATTTAAAGTGTGCTGACCTCCCCTTTCCTTCCCCCATTTTTGATGTGGGAAGAAATGTTTGCCCCTTTCCTCAAAGTTCTTTCTCTCTCTCCCTCATTTCCATAAATAAACCATGCGATGTTTAAAAAATTGTGCCCTCTACCTATCCAACATGACAATAAGAAAATTATAGAGAAATCAAAGTAGAATAAGTTGGGAAATAGATTAACATTTTCCAAATATTTTTTATTTACATAAAAGAAAATAAATGAAGACTCGACCAAAATGAAAGCTATGAGAGAAAGACTGGTCCAATATGTTTGTGAGAGAGAGAGGTGTCCAATGTATTTTTCTTTTGTGACAGAGAGATGCCAATTGTCTTTGTATGTGTGCATTAGAGAGAGGTCCAATATGTTTGAATATTTGTATGTGTGTATGTACGTGTGAGAGAGATTTCCAATGTGCTTTTTATGCATGTATGTGAGAAGGAAAGGTCCAATGCGTGTGAGAGTAAAATCATACACAAAGATGACAATTAGTATCATGAAATTAGTATAAAAAATCAGAAAAATCATTTTCTCCTTCATTTCTTCACTGTAAATTACAAAATGAGTATACTTTTTTTTGTAAAAGTACTGGATCAAACTTAGTTTAAAAAATAGTATCAAAATTAGTAGACACTCAGAAAAGAAACGACGTCTCAATTTTATGTGTTTTTGCAAAATACTAGAAATACATAATGCACTACCCCCTTTTTTTGGGAAACTCAAAATAAAATTTTTAGGGGTTTTTAGTATTTTTTGAAAATTTTTAAGGATAGATCTAGCCAATCCGACCCGGTTTTTCAGATGGAAAATCTGGGTCACCGTTTCGTTTTTTAAAAACTCGGAAGACTAAACTTTTAGAGAGATAAGAGGCATAAAAGATTTATTTTTTGTGGAGGACGTGGAATAGATAGTAGGAAATAGAGAAGTAGATGATACGAAGTTTTATAGTTTATCTTTTAGAGAGAAAAAGACTCTCAAAAGGGGAGGTGGCCGTGTATTGTAAGGAAGTTTTTTAGTAAATGAAGAAACAAGTTAACATATAGAGAGAGAGATCCTCTGCTCTTTATTTTCTCTTGGTAGTAATGCATGGTGGAGGTCTCGGCTCCCTTCTTTTGTGCCTTTTTTTGCTGATTTCTTCTCAGTTTATTCTCTCTCCAAAAATGTGGTTGTACTGCCAATTGTTGGCTGCTAGTGAGTTTTCAATGGCATTAATTAGTATCAGAGCATCACTTCTTGTCGGATCGTGGTGTTGTTCGAAAAGTCA